TAATATCACTTTAGCTTCTTCTTTTTCTTTTTAATACGGTACGCTGTTGGTTTATCTTAGTAAAATATATAAAATAGCGCAAAAAAGACGAGGACAAGGAGTATACAGGACAGGCACTCACTTTCAACTAGTTTTATCCAGGAAAAGTAAACATACATATATAGCTTTTATTCACGATAAGTGCCGAGGGCAGCCGAGAAGGCGGCAATAGCCCCGGATGGTTTGATCGTGCTGGGAGACACCAGCATCCCAGCTCAAATATCTTCTACCCTTAAGAATATGTGCTGCTTTGCCTGTCGTGTGTATATACATGTTCACTTTTCCTGAATGAAACTAGTTCAACATCAGCGCCTGTCCTGTATACCTCTTGTTCTTCTATTTGTTGTGCTATTTTAATGTCCTACATTACTTTTGTGCTCCCGCAAATCGAAGCAAACCAATAAAAAATTCGGTTCGACACTCTGGTGGAAACTAAAAGCTTAGAAAGAAAGAGGAAAAAAGAAAAAGGAAAACATTTCTACAATAATGATAAGCAGGAGGAGGAGGAGGAGAACAAGAAGGCTAATAATGTGGAAAAAAAAGACACGACCCAAATAAATCAATACAAAGGATGGTATAAGTCATGCAACTTACCACATGTAAAATTAATTAAAAAAAATTAGAAAAAAAATGTGTATTTATATATATATTTTTTTTTTCTTTTATCCAGAGGCTTTGGCGCACGCACAGCACTGCACAGCACTGCACTGCACTGCACTGCACAACACAACACAACGAGAGACTTTCCACAAACACACCACTGCGTACGAGGACACGACCACGTAGAGCTGCACGAAAACAAGCGCCGTAACTTAATAAAAAAAAATAAAAAAATCCTTTCACTGGACGGACGGCACAAGAACGGAAACTGCTCAAAGAGCACACACACACACGACACATATTAATGAATTAATAAGGGGCACAAGTAGAACCTAGTTGGGCGATACGTAGGACACGGCACCCACACCAGAGGCCTTGCACAAGCACAGCACTGAGCACTGAGCACTGAGCAGCAAGTCACAGGACAGAAATGACGTCCACGCTGAGTAGGCCGAAGGCAGGGAATGACGGACGCACGCGAGGTCACCCACAGGCACTTTCACCGGAACCACGCCACAACACCACGCTGCAGAGCGCGCACTGCAAAGCGAAACCATGCGCTCACCTTCGGAAAGCACGGAGGGCGGGCGGCACAGAGAAGCAAAAAGACGTCAAAAGCACATCGCGATGAAGCGGCGGCGAATGAACACTACTCACTGGTGGAAATGGATATCTCCTCAAGCGAAAACATGCAATGACCACGCATGGTTTAAGATGCACGTGGGAGACGCGCACACTTTCAGAAACCAGGTACGCCAACGCACGCGGGCAATAAGACGGACAAAACGCGTCGAAAATACATCGCGTGCAAGCAGCGCCGACTGCATACTACTCACGGTTGCAAAGGTTTCTTACAAGTTTGCACTCCAGAATCTTAACGCGTTGGAAAGCGTCCGAGCTCACCAAGAACTATCACTCCGCAGGAACAACGCAAAACAAAAGCAAAAAAAAAATAATAATAA